TATATATATATATATACACACATGCCTTGAATGCAGACTCCTGCATGGTTGTAGTTCTAGTAAAAAAGTCATTGTTGTTTATTTACTTGCGACTTCAGTAAACTTCTCATATTTAGCTTTGCGTAATGTGTTGTAGTGCCGACTTATTAAAATCTTTCATAGCAGACAGCGTCTCTAAGCAGACTAAACACATAGGTTTGCCTTGAAATTCTGTGAACAAATCCCTCCCAAAATGAAAACAATTTTTTTAGATTTTTAAAATGTTTTTTTTTTCTTCACTCATAACACAGTTTTTAAATTCTTAAAGCTGATTTGGGTGCTCCATAAACATTGCATYCTTTTGGCATCATTTTGTCTCCATTTTATGTCAATTCACAGTATAGAATATGATAAACTGACTCATTATTAAGTTGAACAAATATTAAATTGCTAAGCAGTACATAATATATTTTACATCAAACCATCATACCTTTGGTCATTAATTTTATTATGCTTGAATCAATGAGAGCCGGCTTATAGAAGCTAATATTTGATAATGGATGGCCTCATGTCCACCTACATGGTGCAAGGTGAGAGAAATTGGTATGCACTGTGATGATGAAGGGATGTGGGCAGGGTTAAGAGTCTCATTGTGTTTTGTTTCATTTGCATCTAAATGCACACAGGTGTTTTAGCACATTGTGGAACACATTAGACACGCCAGTGATTCAGATGTGTGTGCTTCCAGGTTCTGATATCGTACAGTGGCTGATGAAGAATCTGGACATTGAAGATCAAGGTAAATAATGTGTAAATGTTTCAAAGTGTGAGGCTAATTTAATGCTCTGGAAACAACAGAAAGCTCAGAATGCTGGCTTGGTTTTCGATTTGCTTAGTTAAAAGGGAAAGCATAATAAATGATTATGYTTGTAACACCCAGTAGTGAAAATATGTTTATCAAGTATTCAACTTTTTTTTCATTACTTTGCGTGGAATAAAGAGAAATACCTACAGGTCCTTTTGAACCAAAATCTTACTCAGCTGCATGCTGTTATCCTTGTTACATTTTTCTTTGATCCTTTCTTTTTGTGTCCTTGAGCTGTTGCACACGTTGCAATTCTTCCTCTTTTCATTCTTCTTTTTTTGCTTTGTTGTTCCTCTTTTATCCCAGTGTTAAAAAAGAAAATGGCACTGTTTTGAAAAAGCTCATGAAGTTCTTGAGTCATTTCTTGCACATGCAGTAACAAAAAGAGTCAAATTGGAAGAAGGGAAACTTGTGACAAATATAAAGCCAGCATTTTATTATGTTTATATAAAACAGATAAAAGGTAAAAGCTTCTGGCTTTGTTGAAACAAGTGTGGTTTGATGTATATGTAGTGTGTGATTGTGCTTTTTAATTGGTTATAATGAGCTGCCATAGAAGCGATTTTATTGTATTTTTTTTCAACATTATATCTCGCTTTATTTGAATGAAAGAATCTGCTCTTTGTCATAGGTATGCAATCAGTTCYGACAGACAAATGCATATTTACAGTGTGCCTGTGCATAAAATAAAATGCTTTTCATAAAAGTTTATCTTGATCAAAATAGATGTGAAACATGAAAACAAACAGATCRTTATTGACATAAAAGTCTATTTCTTTCTCGTCTGTTTGCAGCACAGATAAAAYATGCTGTCAGTGCCCCCTGCAGCAGTAAATATTTGTTGTCCAACACTGTGCAACTTTAGCTCMGAGCATTTCTAATAGAGATGACAAACAAGACATGAGAGAGGCAATTAATTTGGCTCACAGCAAATTTATGATGCAAAGACAAATGAGCTTATTGCAACGTTTATTGGAAACAAATCCTCAGATAAAACAYTTGATTCTCCTCGATCTAACCCTTTCTCCTTTAATGTAGAATTGCCTGTTTCCAGTCCAATTTTAGCCTATTCTTGTTTTTGATTAACTTGGTTAATTTAACGTTTGCCGTGTTCAGTTCTAAAGGTCTTTTCTGAGGGTCTCTTTAGCAGCTTATTGTAAGTCAGTACATCAACATTACAGTTCAAAACACAAGTCATAAATGTATTTATAAAAATCTACACAGAGTGGGAGAAAGGACACAAAAAGAATTTTGAATTAGACTTTTTTGATTGCTATCTTTACTCATCTGTGGGTGCAGAGAAAGGAAGAAAGTTGCCAGCAGCATTTAGCATGACACTGCATGATGCATATTAACAAAAACKTCAACGTAAAGTATATGTAAATAGAGTTCAGGTGCAGTCTGCAGCTTATTTTCTCAGTGCAAGTCAACAACATGACTCATGTTTATATCACCTACAGCATAATGAGAACCCTGGTGGGGTGTTTCTAAATTTATTCATTCGATTTGAAATGAAATGAACAAAACATGCATATATCTTCATTTTCACACCATATTCTAATGTAACTCTGATAAGACTAGATCAAAAAAGGCATAATTTAATTAGTTAAAGTGAATTTAATGACAGTGTAAAACATTTAAATGTACTTCAGATATAAAAAATGACTAATAACTTACGCATCATTTTTCTATTGCAGAATATGTGAACCTGTACCTGTTAAAATGTGACTTTATTTTAAAAAGAAAGGTTAATCTGTACTGCGGAGTAGGCAAATGTAAAATGATCTCTGGGGGAGGATATGGGGTCCATCAGGACAGCCTAGAGAGGAAACTTATGGTTCTTTAAGATAATCTGTGTTTTTAAAGCTGCACTTCAGAATTTCTTAGATGTGACAAATGCAGAAACAAATGAACCTCACTTGTTCGAACTAAAACTTTTATTACTTTTTTTCGAACACAGCCAATTAATACTGTTTATTTTCTATAACTGATCAGACCATTAACCGTATTTAAGGGTTATAAAGGGCATTTTTGAACTTAGAGGTGTTATCAAAGAGAGAAAAAAACCAACTTTTAATTAAAAGAACAATAACGTCCAATCCACAAATGTTTAGATATTTTAACTAAATATTTCAAGCCATGAGCCTTTAATACAAACTATTTGAATGTCTGAAACTCCTTGTTTAGTTTTGCTATCTTCAAACAACTTCAACTTTATAGTGATTACTCAGATGATCAAGTCCAAAAAGCAAACACTCGCAGGCCTGCAAATACAGAATCTTTGCTATTGTTTTTAGAAAAAGCTCAGTTTGAAGATATTTCTCAATCTCCACTTGGCAAAGCTCCAAACTGTTTTAGGCTCAAAGCTGGTAAAATGATGAAATCAAAGCTTGTTTTCTCCCTGGGTTATAAAGCTYATCTTCTTTGAAAACTTTACTAATTCAAATGTAGGGCGATAAAGCTTGTGAATTTTTTTTGTATATCACAGAAAGTCAAACATTCCACTTCTTAATGCAACAGATCTCTAAAGCACACTATAACATTAATAGATCTCATTTAATTTTTATTGACCTTGCAAATATTTATATTTATTTCTCTACAACACTGAAATGTTTATTTAAACTTTTTGAACGATGACACAAAAAGTGTCAAAGGTTGACGTGCAGAGGAATAAACTTGTCCTTAAAAACACATTTAAATGTTTTTTTTATGTCTGCCTCAATGTATTTCATAAGCCTTTTCAGAAGATGTTTAGAGCTTAGTCAGTCCCTGAAAAACAATTTTCCTCCAGACTTAATAACACACAAGAACATCCAGTACAGTGCATGCAGTGCATAGAAAGGATAATATTGCTCTAAGACACAACACTGTGGTTGAAGAGGAAGGGGGTCGTGTTTGTGAGTAAACAGATTTAAATAAACTATGAGTCATTATTTATTAATAGTTGAAGCCTAGTTACAGATATCCACACACACACACACACACACAGAGCATCCTGACCTCTGAGAGCTGCATCAGTTGCCTCGGCAGTAAAGGAAAAGCTGATCTATATTTGTCTCTCACACGCAGAGGCCCGTATGGGTGCATGTACATGACAGAGTGTGAAAGCGCTGTGATGTGCAGGTTTTATGCACACGAGCTGAAATCCTCTTTTACTGYGATCTTAGCTCAGCCCTTCGAGACTATATAAAACGTTTTAACCTCTGCATCTCTGCTAGTAGTCCATTAAAAAGGGGAAGAGACRAGTTCACTGCTGGATGCAACAGCATGTAAACAAAACGTTTCCCGTGCTGCTCCCAATTAACAAAATGTGTCAGGATTACCACAGATCTGTCAACACATTAAAGGAACAAGAGTGATGGATGTAGACCCCATGAAGGACTTACAGGGCTTGCAACTGCAGGAAGTAACCGGTGGCAGATGAGACACGCGGTTGATGATGATAACATGTTTTCATTATCTGATGGTTTTAAATCAGCGACAGTCAAGCGTGTGCAGCAGAGCGCCACGGGGAAGCAGGTTTTCTCTCCAACTAGGCACAACACCAGGTGATTTGACTGATGAGTTCCGCCTCTCCTGCTGGAGGTGGGCTAATCAGCTAGGCCTCCTGTTGAGCTGTTTTGCTGGAATGGAGACCTGCCTATTCATCTGTCAAAGCTGTGTCAAAGGCATTTTAAGCAGCAGATCGTAGTTTAGCCACTGGTTCTTGAGATGAATGGCAAATACTGTATAGTTGGTTAATATGTAGGGAGACATGAGACGAATAAATTAACTAACGTTAAAAAAAACATAAATAAGGCGTTAAGTTCGGAATTTAGGACCAAAAAGGGGAAGACAATGCTTATGTTTTAAGATCAAACAGGACATTTTCCTGCCACATTAACATCAATAGAATTCTTAAAATATTTTTGTAGAACATAGCATGGCAGAAAATACGGTTTGGTCTGGGACTTTTTAACTTTGCTCACATTTATTGTCCAGTAAAACAAGAAAAAAATGGAGGGAAAGAGATGGTAAACAAAACATCTCCTTAATAAACATGTGCTCATGTGTGACAGTTCTGGGATAAAAGTTACATCAAGTTGAAAATTGACTTTTTTCCCCCCCATGTCTTTTTTCCCCTCAGTCGAGGCACTTCACTTAGGGACACTGATGGCTGCACATGGATACTTCTTCCCCATTTCAGACCACGTTCTTACTCTCAAAGATGATGGCACTTTCTATAGGTTTCAGGTAAGGATATTAATATGCTGAAGTTTATTTGAACTGTCTAGGGAGGATGAAATAAAAAAAGGACTTGGAATTTAAAAGAATATAATTCTTGTGCCATGGGCCCAGAGTTTTAACTTGACAAACTCAAGTCAAAGAAGTTGTATACTTTTGTTTTTTGTCTGTTTATTGTCCCCATATGCATTTTTATGTTGCTTTATCAAGACAACAAACTAAACTTAGCCCAAAAAGTAAGGACATTTGTSTTTGGTAGATTGTTCCTTTGTTGTAACAACGCTTCTTGGCAATATGTCTTATAATGTTGGAAAGTCTGTTAAATACCTTTTTAAATGGTGCTATATTTGTGAGGAACGTGCATTTGTGGGCTGAGCAGTAGAGCTGAGTATGTGGGKAGCGTATATGAAAACTTTGCCAAATCCTCTTTGCCAATGCCAAACACTGTGCGYACTGGATGATTGAAGTTTGAAGAAATAAGACTTKTTGGAAGTTTAACAATKTATTCATTTAACAAACAGAAGCCTCAGTAGAGTGTGGAAGAACCATACACAGCCACAACAGCCTGGCACCTCCTCCTCGTGCTGGTCAGCAGCTTGGTCACACACASTTCTGTGGGATGGCATCTCATTCAGCAACCAGCATTTGTCACAAGTCAGCCAACTCGGTTGTGTTGGTCACTCTGGCATGAACAACAGGCCCAAGCTGATGCCACAAGCTTTCGATGAGGTTGAGGTCAGGACTGCTGGCAGGCCACTGCCAAATTCTGAAGGTGGTCTCTGATAAACCACTCTCTGTGSGGTCGGGTGTTGTCATCTTGGAGAACAGAGTTCGGTCCCAGACTGTAGAGATATGGGATTGCCGCTTGTTGCAGAATTTCATCTTGATGTCTCTCTGCATTGAGACTGCCAATCAGGTGATTGATTGGCAGGACCAAGGGGTACCAGAAGCTCAAAACACATGTCGGTTTGGCAAGTTTTTCATGTGCGCAACCCACATACACACTATACCCACTCTTTTCCTCTTTTCCTTCCATTTTAGGTTTTATCTAAAACATCCCTTGTATTATTGTARAAAATGAATAGTAGTCGGTGTACTTCTTAATTCTTCCTGGCTTCCATGGCTTAAGTGTTTTTTTTTTCTTTTACTCTGCCTCAAATGTGCTGGACAGAACTAACCTGGGCAAATCAATGCCAACAACTTGTGTTGGTAGTCGACTTCACTTTTGAGTTTTATGTGAAATTGGTTTCCATTTGAGGCCAGTCTATACGACACTGCCCTTAGGATGGTCAGGATTCATGCTGGTGTCTGCTTTAAGCTCTGTCGTAAGAGTGTTTATGTCCTTTAGACAAAATGCTAAACCCATTATGCGGCAAAGTGCTTTTGGTGTGACAGCTGCTGCGCTGTGGCTGCGGCACATTTTGATTTGAAGCAGCATGTGCTTTATGTGATGAATTTGACGAGCAGTTTCTTGTAGGTTTATCTCCTAATGACCTGTTGTCCTTTCAGACTCCATACTTTTGGCCATCAAACTGCTGGGAACCTGAAAACACAGACTATGGTAAAGCACTGTCTAGTTTCATAGGCTGCACATCGCATATAACATTTAGAAGCGAATAAAAGCCTAGCGTTGAAGGAATGCATATTGCTCAGCTCCTTTCAAATCAGAGTTTTAAACTTAGTTTTAACGACAAACAAACACTCAAGGGCAAAAAGATCACCACCTCTCATCGTCAGCCGTGGGTGATAAAGAGGCAGACCTCTGCTGAAACATATTGCCCTCAGTCAGATTTGAGGATAGTACACACAGCTCGCAATAACCTACTATTTCTAAGTTGCAGTTACATTTCATAGATTCAGATACAAGGCCTCAGTCATACGTGTCTGCCTCAGTTATAATCCCTGACTGCTGCGGCCTGATAACCGTACAGGAAAGCTGAGATGTGCCAGTACGCATCATCCTGCTGTGCACAGTCGGCTGAGCATTTTAATGGTGACACAGGGAWGAGTTTTTCATTGTTACAGCCAAGCAGAGTGGAGTTAAAGCTTTTATAATGCCACAAATGGTTAGGAATATCACCTCCCCCTAGCAGGTCTTTCATTTGTTGCAGAAGAGGGAAAAGGCTAAAGCTCACTATGGGAATAATCTGCGAAGCGTTAGTGGAAGACCAGGCATCTCAGACGTACCACATAAATGATGACCCATAATGAAAACAGTCTAATGGCATAATGAAGCTCCCACATTACGGTCAGTTAACAAAGAGATGAAGGGCCGATTATAGCACAGGAAGAGATCAAAAGTCAGGCACGAGCACTCGCGGTAACAGATGCATCCACACCGCACGCAGCAAATGACCTTTGTGATTCGCAGGCCGGTCTAAATGTGCAGTTGAGAGGACTGAAACGAATAAACGCCAAGCCACTTAAAGGCTGTTAAAGCAAACCTGAGATCCTGTTCTCCCTTTATTTACCTGCATTTTTATTATTTTGTGTGTGTGTCTCTCTCAGCTGTTTACCTCTGCAAAAGAACAATGCAAAACAAAGCACGACTGGAGCTTGCAGACTATGAAGCTGTAAGTAAAAGAACTCTTTTTGGTGTCACCTTTTCCCCACTTCGCACATCGGCTTGGTTTTTATGTTGCGCCATCTCTCACGAGGCCACTTTTTAAAATAAAAACACTCAAACAGTCGGTTCTACCTTTGTGTCAGTGAATAATTTTGCAGCTATCTTTTGCATCACAGGAGAGCTTAGCACGGCTACAGAGAGCTTTCGCCAGGAAATGGGAATTCATCTTTATGCAAGCAGAAGCACAAGCAAAGTAAGTTTCTGAAAGAACCCCACRCATGGAGCCATTCTGAGTCCCCTTGTTTAAATTTAGTGGCGAACTGTAGCAGTGGGCGATTCTAGGAGTCCTATATACTGGGTCATCAGGCTATATAAGGACAGTTCTAAATTTCATTTTGATCCTCAGAGTCGACAAAAAAAGAGACAAGATCGAGAGGAAAATTCTTGACAGTCAGGAAAGAGCATTCTGGGACGTGCACAGACCAGTGGTGAGTGAAATAACCATTTGTGTTGTACTGACATCACTGATGTTATCATGAAGTTTTTTGTTTTTTTTTAATGCAGAAGAGGATACTATTTTTAAAAAGGTAACAATGACCAGAATCTGTTCCACCTCCTAAATCAAAAGAATAATTAGATGTGGGAAATCATCAACACCCGGTGGGTTATTTTAATCCATTTCACACATTTMGCTCTCCGTAGGGGTGCATCAAGCTGTTTGAGAGAGAAATACTGTTTTKAAAATGTCACGCACTCACAAGAACTCCATGGATCATACAACTTCTATGAGCTGAAGATGCTACCTGTAACATTTAAGCGGCAGAAAGAGGCCAACCCGCTGCACAGCCTCTGACGTGGATTTGCCTCTCGCAGTACCTGAAATGCCACATCAATAACTGTCACAACACATGAGCTTCAGCGCTGCTCTTTACCTTGTTCCTGAACTCCTGCTTGCGTTAGCCTTTCGTTCCCCGCCCCCTCTCCTACTTTAAGGTTAAAGGGTCTCCTTTGCTCTGTTTCTTCCCACGTCCAAAGCTCGACAGTTAATTGGAAAATAACAAGTTCAATTTATGCGTCCTTGGAGCAACATAATCAATATTAATTCAAATTTCACAGTGACGCTGTCATGCTTCTTAGCTCTGTTCACCAGGAAGAGACCTAGATTAAGACCACTTGTTCAATCAGCCGGTATCTGTACTCTGATTTCGTGCTGATTTGCATTTTTCTTTTTTTTTTTTGGGGTGGGGGTCACATTTGCTGTTTAATTAACCAACATCTGACACATCATCTAAGACACTTCACAGCACTGCTTAGCAGATTGGATTAGCTGAAATTTCTGTAGTTGTGAAAACTGTTTGCCCATAGTGGTGTCACTCTACCAGCATAGAAAACATGCTGTGCAATAAAAGTTTACTTCAACATRCATAATATGTCAGTATTAAAGAAAAAAAAAGCTGATTTCCCTCATGACTGTCTGAGTTTCTCCTCACTGTCTTCACAGCCGGGATGTGTGAACACAACAGAAGTTGACATAAAGAAGTCGTCCAGAATGAAAAATCCTCACAAAACGAGAAAGGTACACTTCTCAGTTGTTCCACATTTATTTCTTTTTTGTGTTGATTTTTGGATTCAAGGTTTAAAGCCATCTGTTTTATGCTGTAAGTGTTTCCATTTTCTGTCCCAGTCAGTGTACGGGCTGCAGAATGATATCCGCACTCACAGCCCGACACACACCCCTGCTCCAGAGGCCAAACAGCCAACAGAAGAAGAACTGCAGGAACAGGTTAGACCAGCAGGTGGTCGAGGTTTACAGACTCAGTTTTATGGCAGTGGTTCCTCTCAAGGTTAAATAAACATGATATAAAGCTGAGTTTTTGGTGTATAAAACAAATATATGTAGAGTATATGCAAAACTAGCAGCCACACAGTCTTTTTGTTACCGGAGTTTACTGAATGTTCCAACGTTTTCTGCCATTCTTTTAGATCACGTTTTGGCARTTACAATTAGACAGACATCGACTGAAAATGTCCAAGGTGGCAGAGAGGTGAGCAATGTTCTTTGTGTCGTTATTGAGTTTAGTCATCGATCTGTTTATTGAGCTGTTAAACGGCCTTACTTGTCATGAAATTAGGAGCTTTAGTGACCTTGAGGAATGTCTGGAATCAGAMAAAAGGTTCAGTTCTTGCCAGCGACGACAATGCTCTCAGGAGGAGTTCAGTTTTGAATTAGAATTTATAAGTAAACAACTCATCAAAAAATAAGATATTTTTAAATAATGTGTACTTTTAATGTCRTCCAGTAAAGATTGGTTTATGGCATGTGTTTTTGTCTTCACTTAAAAACAGTTTGCTGGGTTACACAGAGCAGTATGTTGAATAYGACCCCTTCCTCACGCCTCCGGACCCATCTAATCCCTGGATCTCCGATGACACCACACTCTGGGAGCTCGAAGCCAGGTGGATACAATCTACTAAAGAAAGTTTGAATGAACGCATTATGAAAATATCATGTCTGGGTGTGCTTTGTGGCAATCTGAAGTCATGTTTCCTCCTCCAGCAAGGAACCAGGCCAGCAGAGAGTRAAGAGGTGGGCTTTTGGCATCGATGAGGTTCTTAAAGATCCTGTGGGGAGGGAGCAGTTCCTCAAGTTCCTTGAGTCTGAATTCAGCTCTGAGAATCTCAGGTTTGTGATAAGTTACGATTTATTGAATTCATTAGAAATTAATCCTTATCTAAAATTATTGCCTGGAATATGATCATGCATTAGAATAAAAATCTCATGTATAATTAAACAAATGCTTTTTAATGTTTTAATAAAGCACACTGATGAAACATTTATAACATCACAATAACATTGATATGGTTGCCACGTTACACCGATCACCAATGATGGGAAAATAAACTCTTGTTTCCCATTTTGTTCATGTTTCTGTGCCACTAAAACAGCTCTGACTTATTAGGACATAAAAACTGGTTTATGTGGTGATTGTGGTTTGTCCCAACCTGTCAGGATGTTGGCTGCAGGCTGCTTGGGTCTCAATCAGGAGTTAAACTGGGGTTTGTTAGATTTAAAGCTGCATTTAGTGGGCTGCTTTGGTAAAATACAGACAAAAATAAAGATAAAATCATCCGACACACTGAGAACAAAACATGGAGCTACATCCTTCTAGCTCTGCATACTTACTTTATCAGAGTCATGCTGTACACTAATAAATGTCACAAATTGCACTTTTTTGCAGTTAAATCAACTGTAACATCTTACAGCCACTAAAATAATATAAATAAATAAATAAAAAATAATAAAATAGATTTTCATGGCTATGTTTAATTAAAATAGAATATTTCATATTATCACAACCAATAGAAAGTTATCTCGTACACAGTGTGCATTCTAACATTACATTTTCTTGTAGCTCAAGACAAATATCCCCATGGCCATATTAAATGTATATAATTTGATTTCAAATAGTTCATATTTCTATGCTTTTYATGACTTCACAGTCTCCTAAGATGTATGTCACCACACTCTTGTAATAAGACACTCCCCACCCCCCCAGAAAATAAAACAACTTTTACTTATTGAATACATAAATCATGACCTTGGCACTTGGCAAAGGTAAGTTTTAAAGGAAAAGTCTTTTTAGCCTCTTTTAGTTTCTCACTTGTCTATTTTTTTTACGTAAACAAATTAAACATTTAAAAGAGCAAAAAAATTATTAAAAAATATAGATTTGAATCAAACGTTGCACTTTCTGAGACGAGACAACTACTGAATAAAATGTTTCTAATTAGCAAAAGACACAGATATCACCTTACAAAGGTTAATTAAAATTAAAGTGCACAAGTAACTAAAATAATTCACACCTTTTACTTCATGCATGCATAGTAACAGTGAAAAATGCAGATGTATACAATATACACATAGTTATCATGTTAGATGCTAATAAATTAGCTTCTTTCACAATAAGAAAACTGATCAATTTTTGTCTTGAATGAATTTTTAATTACTCACATAATTATAGATGTCAAAAACCATGAAAGATCTTTCTGCTCTGTCCCAATATTTAGATTTAACCTTGAGTTATGGTAAACTTGTGCATTCATGATAATATTGCCTGCAGGTGGAAACTGTGTTTAAATTTACTACTTAAAATATGTACAGCTGTTGCTCTAGAGATGGATTAAAAAATGTGCGTATGATAACAAGACTTCATCGAAGCTTAAAATATGCATTAAAAACCCCTCACACTGCTGTGTCAGATGACTCCAGTGCTCCCTCTGATGGTCCAAGTCTGTACTGTCTCTGCTCCAAGGTTTGCTTATTTCATTTCACACTATACTCTGCCAGCACAGATCAGCTTGGAATAATTAGAGGGCAAAGCCCTAAAAACAGCAAAATACAAGCTTTTGTATCAGTCTAGGAGAACTGTCCAMACATTAAGTCTTATTGTTGGAATTTAGGTTCTGGCTTGCAGTCCAGGAGCTAAAGAAGCGTCCCATCAGAGAAGTACCGACTCGGGTTCAGGAAATCTGGCAGGAGTTTCTGGCCCCTGGGGCGCCCAGTGCCATAAATGTGGACTCTAAGAGCTATGACAAAACCACCCAGAATGTCAAAGATCCCGGACGCTACGCCTTTGAAGATGCACAGGTGAGGGGATTATTCAGCAGCAAATGATAGCAAATCCAATAAAMCAGCTATTGATTCTTGTGAGACTCAAAGATCAATTAATTGTTTTGTTTAAAGTCTGTTGAAGTAATCTTACAAAAGTTGCTTGCAGCTGCTAAAAACAGCTGTACACCTGCTCGTGGCTCTTTATGAGTCACAACCGTCTGGTGGATCTGCTGAATATTGCATTTCTTGATTTGTATTCAGCGCACTGTTTTAGTTGTGTCTGATGCTTTCATCCCTCATTTTCACACTTTGTTTCTACGACAGGAACACATCTACAAACTGATGAAGAGTGATTCTTATAGTCGTTTCATTCGTTCCAGTGCCTAYCAGGAGCTATTACAGGCCAAGAAGAAGGTGAGCTCCTGACACACAACACAAATCAGATGAATTCGATGGCAACGCACAGCCCTATGTGCAGCCTCTTTATGGCTTATTTGTAATTAGCTAATTGGTCAGAATGGATCTCAGTTCCAAAAATATATRAGGAATTCCTGAAAACTGAGGTGTAACAGGTCAAACTAAAGCACATTAAAAAATTTCAATTTCACCATTAACAAAGAGAGAAAAAGTGTTTTTCCCCACAGGTGGGTATTGTGAAGCAACCAATAGGGACTCACCTTGGTCTATTAGAAAAGTGCCAGAAAAGATAGAGGGGTTGTCACAACATGACAAAAAAATCTGATTGCCTCTAGTGTAACCATGTGCCTAAAACCTACTCTGTCTCACACCTCCTACACATTCACAGCCTGTCATTGCGGCGAAAAAGAAATCAGTATTATGTGTAGATTTTTTTGAAACAATGGCCTGCCTTTATATTTGTTTTTTTAATTAGGTATAATGTCAGTCACAGGGTTAATGTCAGGGTTTGGTCTCTTACAACAAATGAAATCTTAGAACCCATAGTTAGGCTCTACAACAGGGCCTACAAAATTCATAAAAAAACTTCCTGGTTGGACTCATCACTGTACAGTCCTTTCATTGTCTGATGCCAGCATGGTGGCTCAGTTGGTAGAGCTGATGCCTCTCAGCAAGAAGGTCACCAGTTCAAATC